GATGAGGGTGAGATCATAGACAAAGAACATCATTGGAAAATTTATAAACTTAAGGAATCATCACATATGCTAGGCCACAAAAATATCCTGAGCCGACCAAGCATAGAAATGAATACAATATGGGACCCAGTAATAAAGAGTGCCAGAGAAAACCAATAATAACAACATAAATTGCAATATGAGCTCTGGTAAAAACAGTATGATAACGGCAAAAATTGCAATATGAGCAATGGTTAAAAAAAGTTTGCTGAAACATTAAGTAATTTTTGCACCGATGTCTTCAAGGACACATGGCCCAGTGGATAAAGGCGTTAGTTAGATCCAGTAACAGGATTCAAAGAGTGTGAGTTCAATTCCCGGTTAAAGCAGTGAAAACTGACATATCACGTGGAACTAGAACAATCTGCCCCAGCCTGCGAAGAAGGCCGGAGCGTATAAAGGCCAAAACGTTGTAATAAATTTGGCTACAAAAATGAGGACAATAATGTGGATATAAGTTTTTTCTTAATGTCTATGTTGCATAGTACTTAGATGTGCTGTAATTTTATTGGTTTTAATGATTGATATATGCAGAAAGTGTACTAAATTTCAATAAATGAAAAGTTAACCTATGTGTGACCAATGTAAGAATTTAATGTACTTTTGTAATTACTGATATTGGGAATACAAATGATCCTTCATTTCATGAACATTGTGTATTGAGGTGAGATTTTTGATGTTGAGGGTTATTGGTCAAAATTAGGTTAAATGATTGTAAACATTTAAGAGTAAATAATAAAAGATAGTGTTTATTGCAATCATGAAATGATATGTACCAGTGAATTATATTTTAATGTTTTTGTCTGGTTGTTTATAGTTTGGGTGTGGCACTAAAGTTTATTTATATCAGGATTGTTGTCTGTGTCATTTTTTTTTCTTTAAATCTTTAAAACTAATTTTATTTGTTTGTCGACGATGTGGTTGGGGAGATTTTTGCAGATAAGAGGTCGTTTTATTCGGTTCTATTCGTTATAAAATAATATATGCTGGAAAAATATTTTGCTCAGTTAATTATGCTTTTAACAGCTATTTTATATCTGTGAGGAAGTTCACTTTTGTAAGTAAGAAGACAAGAGATTTTTACTTGTGATTTTTTTTTTAATACAGTGAAGTAGTAACATTATAACGATGTGTGGCTGGCGTGACATTAAAGAAAGTGATTCTATTATTAAATGTAGAAGAGAATTTTCCTAAAAGGTTTTTTTTTATTTATTTATTTCGCATATATTTTTGAATATGTATCCGATATATTAAACATGTCATAATTTTGACTTACTTATTAAAATACCGTTTTTTTTGTTTTGTTTTTTTGCGTGAGTCACGAAGGAATTAGATGAAGTAGGACCTAGAGGTGACGCCATAGTTATCGTATTGATCATAAAATAAGACCTTGTGCCTCACATAGGGAAGCTTACGTAGAACTGTTGTTTTAATATTAGGAGATGTGGCATAGGAAAGCCTACGTGTTTTTTTTTATTACTATATTTATTGTTTCTACAAAAGGGACATCGATAAAGTGATGTTTACTGTCCATTGAGGCTAGGGTACTTTTGTTAGGTCTGTGTGATTCTTTGGGTGTTTGTTTGAGTGCAGTATTTCAAGAAAGGCGTTAGTGGAATTAACATAATTTTCTTTTTGTAGTTATGCTAGGATTACATGGTTAAAATGCTGGATAAATCATATAAAGGGATTTGTGAAATAAAATATGGCGGCAAGCCAGGTTTGTGTGTTTTTTATTCCTATACAAATAACATATTTTGGAGTTTGGTGGCTTCAACTTCAATTGAAATAAGTGTATTTTTTTAATGTGCTTTTTGTTGAGAATAGTTTCGCTTAGCACCATAGCCTGTCTTTAAAATAACAAAAACGTTATATTTAAAAATCTTCCGAATTGCAATTTTTTTTATGTTATATAGGAATAAAGTGTCGCTGCGGACACTTGAGTTTGAACAGAGATCGCCAGTGAGCAACACAGACGATCCCATTATTAAATTGAGTAGAACTCGTGACCATAGAGGAAATACATATATATACAGAAAGTAGCATGATGTCTAAATGATCATTATTCCTAGTCTATCCTCTATTACTATACGGACAGCTATTCTCTATTCTCTTCTCTATACTATTTATCTATACGGATCACTATTCGGTGGTGACTATTCGAGCGAGTATTATCGAACAAGTACTATTAGTGCGAGAGTTATTCGAAGGCGTCTAACAACAGTATTGTTCAACGGCGTTACTATAGTTGTATCTGCGATTACAAAGTCTCTACTACAACGAGCATTACGAAAGTGACAAGTATTCGTTGACATCACAAAAGTGTCAACGAGTATTAGTTGACATCAAATATATATATATATATATATATATATATATATATATATATATATATATATATACGGTCCTCCATTCTCTACGCTATTAACTATACTATTTCTCTACTCACATCACTATATAGGTTACTTGTCGAGTGAGTATTATCGAGCAAGTATTATTAGTACGAGTGATATTCGAAGGCATCTGGCACCAGCATTGTTCAACGGCGTTACTATAGTTGTATCTGCGATTACAAAGTCTCTACTACAACGATCATTACGAGTATTCGTTGACATTACAAATTTATTTCTAATTCCGGTCTAGACTTGTTTTATTTCTTTGGTTAAGAACTTGTTTCATTTCCTCTTATTAATTTTTTCTTAATGGTTTCAGTAAAGGTTCGTAATTCACGAGAAGTTGTTATGTATTTGTCGTTTTCTAGCTCTCTAATTATTTATAGAACTTCAATTTATACTTTTTTCATTTTTTTTTTTTTTTTTTTTTTTTTGTCTTTCTCTCTTTTTAACATTTCTCTCCAGGCAAGACAATAAAAGCCACTATGATGTAAAAGATTATTGGGACTAAAAGAAACAGAGAAAACAATAAAAGAATCTGAATTCAAGGAGGCAAAAGATGATTATATACATTGCATTTAAATTTACGAAAATTGTAATTGACAAAAGAACAGGAAGCCGGAAGAGAGTTACTCAAGCTATAAGTCCGAGTGTAGAACCTATTAGCATAGAACTGTCAAAATTGGAGTAGAGATGGCAATTTGAACCCACATTAAGGAAATTCTCTGGAGAAGAAAACAGGAAAAGATTATTATTTGTTAGAAATCAGAATGTATGCTTGTTAGCAAAATGGACAGCCCAAGATGGGACCTACGTATTGGGGATGTCAAATCCAAGGTGGGGGGATCAACGGCCAATCCTCGGCCCACACCAACTGGTGGGCTTGGGATTTATGCTTTCATTAACATTTACAAAGAGGAGATGGAGAGGCTAGTCAATTCCAATTTCAAACATTATATCAAGCAAAAAAGATACTGTCACAACATCGTTAGAATACTCACAAGACACCCTATGGCCCAGTGGATAAAAGCGTTGGTTAAGTATTCCAAAACCTGACTTGACCCATAGAGTTGTGAGTTCCATACCTGGCCACAGCAGAGAGAACAAAAACTTGGAGAGTTGAGTAACTTAAGGTAATTAACTAAAACTGAGATATCCAAAAAAAGGCATGGCACGTGGAATTAGAACAATATACCATCGTGGAATATATAAAGGATTCGGTTTGAAATTCTAACACATATCTTGTTTCAGAAAGTTAACAAAGTGTTAAGATAGAATGAAAAAAAAGAAAAAAAATTGAACTGCTATGTAATAACTATATGGAAGCAAATATTGTATAACCTTAAAGATGAAGAAGAGATTTTAGGTCATAACATGTACTGCGCATTAACGTGGGTAAAAATAGCAGCTCGAAGGAAACTGATACTTAAAATTATAAAGACATTTGAAATTGCTGGCACACATGACGAGGAAAGAAGACTCGGAGAATTTAACACTCAATAATAATAAAAATAAAGGTAAGAGTAGTAAGTTAAAGACTTACAGATCAAGGCGAGATGGTTAATAGGCAAAAGTTATTTGCAGCAACAAGAGACAGAAAGTTGTGGAGAGCCATAATGTTTCACGTCCGCCATGGTGAAAGAAAGAAAAATAAGTTTAGCAAGGTACACTGGTCGTTTATGTCATTTGAGGGAGTATTGGTTCAGCAAATACCGCATCTTTACATATAAGACGCCCAATGTATATCAATATATTATTTTGTTAAACTAAATGAAAGCGTTGGTAGTATCTATGAGATCTGAGTAAATATTTCCAGATACCTCAGCTTTACTGATAAAACCCAGGATATATATTTCAAAATACCGAAGTATGGCTGTAAATGCTGGACACACTCTCTACATATAGAGGCAGCAGAAATATGGTTCTACAGAAGGATATTGAGAATTCCATGGAAGGAGCGAGTAAGCAACAAGGAAGTCTTAAGGAATGGTAACAGAAAGAACACTTATACACAGCATCAGAAAGAGACAGTGAAAATTTCTTGAACACGTAATGTGGAAAGAGGAATTGGAAAACTTAATACTCACAGGGCATACTCGGGTCAAGAGAGACAGTGAAAAACAGTGGATCACCTGCCTGACAAACTTGTGTGAATCAATGATGGAACCGGAGACTTTTTTTTAAAAATCATTTCATCTACCAGCAAGGTAATACATCCAAGGGATTATTAGAGCGAAAAAGAATATGATAGAAAAAAAAAACTATTAAGAAGAGAGAATAATAGAATAGGAATTAAGAAGACAGAAGATAACGATTGGCATTGCCTTTAAATTTATGAACATCAACATTGAATGGAAAGCAAGAAGCCGGAAGAGAGAAGTCCCCAGTAAGAAACATTTGGGTTAGTGATGGTAAATTAATTTTTTCCCTTATAATGGTAGAAACACACAATGGATTCTCAAATAATGGAAACTTTTTAAATTCAGTGCAATCGACAATTAAACAATTCTAAATCAAAAACATTGCGACAGATACGCTACACTAATAATTCTTTTATTTCATTAGCCAATGGTTTTTTTTTTCCTCCTTTTCTCAGACGTTTGCACCGTGCATCAAATAAAAAGAATTATTCAACGCAGTTGTTTCGTATATCCGTCTCCGCCAAGAGAGGTGACTTTTGTTTTCTTGTTGTTTATTTTATCTTCTGTAATTACGTTCTCCCAAGAGCGAGTTGATTTATCATTGTCAGTGATTTCGTTGCAGGCGGAGTTGTTTGAGAACGAGAAGAACGGAAAAAAATCAAATCGGCATCATGACTATCCGAGGAATATTCGATTCTTTTTATTGGTGTCTGCTCTCTCTTTCGATCAGGTTTTCCTTTTCTTTTTTTCCATTCCATTCTCTTCTTTTTCTTCTCTTTACATTTTTCTCTTTACATTTCTCGTTTTATTTTAGCATTCTCTCTTCTCTTTACCTTTCTCTCTTTACCTTTCTCTCTTAACCACTCTCTCTTTACCTCTCTCTCTTTATCTTTCTCTCTTTACCTTTCTCTCTTTACCTCTCTTTACCTCTCTCTCTCTCTCTTTACATTTCTCTTTTTACCTTTCACTCTTTACCTTTCTCTCTTTACCTCTCTCTCTTTACCTTTCTCTTTTTATCTTTCTCTCTTTACCTTTCTCCTTTACCTCTCTCTTTTTCTTTTTATCTTTCTTTTTACCTTTCTTTTTACCTCTCTTTTTCTCTTTACCTTTCTTTTTTACCTTTCACTCTTTACTTTCTCTTTTTTCTCTCTTTACCTTTTCTCTTTTATCTTTTCTCTCCTTTCTCCCCTTTATCTTTTTATCTTTCTCTTTTTACCGCTTTCTTTACCTCTTTCTCTTTACCTCTCTTTTCTCTGTAACTTTTTTTTACTCTTTTATCTTCCTTTCTCTTTCTTTATCTCTCTCTCTTTACTCTCTTCTCTCTTTTTACCTTCTCTCTTTCTCTTTACTTTTTCTTTACTCTTTTACCTTTCTCTCTTTTACCACTCTCTCTTTTACCTTTCTCTTTACATTTCTCTCTTTACCTCTCTCTCTTTATCTTTCTCTCTTTACCTTTCTCTCTTTACCTCTCTCTCTTTACCTTTCTCTCTTTACCACTCTCTCTTTACCTTTCTCTCTTTACCTCTCTCTCTTTACCTCTCTCTCTTTACCTCTCTTTACTTTACCTCCTTTCTCTTTCTTTCTTTACCTCTTCTTTACTCTCTTTTACCTTTCTCTTTTACTCTCTCTTTCTCTTTAATTTCTCTCTTTACATTTCTCTCTTTACCTCTCTCTCTTTATCTTTTTCTCTTTACCTCTCTCTCTTTTTTGTAGATTTCTTTTATCACTCTCCTACTTTACATCCATTCCCATTCTAATTCCCAGTTTTCTTCTTCCCCTCCTGCTCCTTCTTATTATTCTTATTTACCTTCTTTTATTCTTATCCTCTTTCTTCTTCTTGTTTTTCTTCTCCCTTTTCTTCTTCTCGTCCTTATTCTTCTTCTTCTTCTTCTTTTATTCTTCTTCTTCTTCTTCTTCTTCTTCTTCTTCTTCTTCTTCTTCTTCTTCTCATTCCCCTTCTTTTTTCTTCTTATTCTTATTCTCCTCCTTCGAACTTCTTTTTTCTTCTCCCCTTTCTTCTTGTTCTTGTTCTTCTCTCTTTTCTTCTACTCTCTTTTCTTCTTCTCTCTTTTCTCCTTCTGTTTCTTCTTCTTCTTCTTCTTCTTCTTCTTCTTCTTCTTCTTCTCTTTTCCTTCTTGTATCAGTCTCAAATGCTCCCATTAATTTTTCTCATCACCCTTTCTTTCTTCCAAATTATTATTAGCCGATCTATTCTCCAACCATCAAATTTAATTGTGAGAATGATGGAATTTTCTTTCGTCTTATTTCTCTTCTCTTCTTTTCTTTTTTTTCTCTAGTCCTTCATCTTTCATCTATCTATAATAAATTTTTTATAAATACACAGTTTATTTAAAACCCAACAAAGTAGATTGAGTGCATTGACAAAAAGAAGTTGTGACAAACTTGCACCTTCGAATATTTCTCGTTTGATGTTGACAATTCCAAGTAAATAAGCACCTGCTACTCACACATTTTCAATCTATTGATATTTTCAGTAATTTTGAACCTAATTGGTGTTTTCAAATTTCTAGAGTGAGGCACTGTGCTGTACATTTTCTTCGAGACAGTGTATCGTATTGGAAGGGAAGTTTGGCTTCGTTTTCGGTTTCTTATTAATTTCATTAATTAACGACTAGCTACTTGAACCCCTTAAACTCTTCCGACACCTCCAATCAGTTAAGATCCGAAGCCATCTGAGATGTGCCTGGTAGCCTATCAGGTTTCATTATTATCTTCTTTTTTCGCGCGGCGTTCGTTTTTAATCGGAAAGCTTGCAATATGGCTGTTTCTCCATCAAGCCGTACGTCAGCGAGCACCTTTCGCAGAATATTAGAAATACCGATCAACCAATGTAGACTTCAGGCGGGGGATACTAGATTTGATTTGCCAGTAACGGAGATAACAATCGGCGGGTGTCTGATATGCCACTCGTTACCTGCTTGGTCCGACCATAACACGCCCCCAGTCACCCCCTCGGAGCTTTTATCGATCGACTTACAGCTATCACATTTCATAATTTGTGTACATCATTGTGAGAATTCATTGGTTTATATAGGGTTATTCCTTCCCTATTGAGTTTTATTCGTGCTACCAACTCTAGTTGGATTGCCAATCAAGTCAAATCCTTTCGCGGGTGTAGACGTGTGTATACGCTTTTCCGAAAAAGTCTTCTTCGGAAACGGATGAATATATACTTCCAAAACATAAATTTCAAAAACAAGTTACAGACGTCTTTATACATCGATTCTTTTTATGCCCTTCTGAGATTGAAACGAGTCCAATTGTCGACTCATACGTCTGGGAGAGGTGTTATCCACCGCTCGGGTACTTCAAAGTGCCTCAGCTTCTTAGTTGCTATATTAAAACAAAGAAAGAAATTCGTCTGAAAATAAACCTTTTTTTTCTCAAAATAATAGGTGAGGAAGTAGTTAAAGAAGGTACTTCACCTCATTAGCAAAACTAGGAGCTTCTGATGACCAGTCGGCTTACCAAGCGCTTGGCCAGTAACCTAGGTGTTTCTACGTCCCGGGGCTAACATTATTATTATTATTATTATTATTATTATTATTATTATTATGTTTTTAGTTTTGACTCTGCTTGTTTGTTTTACGACGAGTTGTCGCCAAGATTTCTGCTAAAAGCTCAAGAGACTACAAGTCAACAGATTATAATTATTAATACAGTTGGTTGGATATGTAGCTCTGATAATTTCAGCATCATTGGTCTTTATTATATGGTTTCATTGAAATGTGTTTAATAGTTTAAACTGTCATCAAAATGTGTATACACAGATAAAATTTATGTAATTAAAATGTGTAAACACCCGTTGACACTTTTGTAATGTCAACGAATATTCGTTGTCACTTTCGTAATGCTCGTTGTAGTAGAGACTTTGTAATCGCAGATACAACTCTAGTAACGTCGGTGAACAATTCTGGTGTCAGATGCCTTCGAATAACATTCGCACTAATAGTACTTGCTCTATAATACTCGCTTCAATAGTAACCATCGAATACTAATCTGTGTAGTGACCAATATAGAGAAATAATGTAGGAATAGTGAATAGCGATCCGTATACTAATAGAGGATTGTATAGAAAGAGTGATCCGTATAGTATTAGAAGATAGACTAGAAATGGTGATCCTTATAGTAATAGAGAATAGTGTAATAATCACACAAATAGTAATCCGGATAGAGATGATATTCACTAACCGCCCCACGCAATCGGATGTGGCACAAGGCCAAGTTTATTGTGGAGTACCGAGCCCGTAGGCTCGGGCAAAAATATCCGCTAAACCCCGTAAAAAACGGGGTCGGGTAGCTGTCTACCATCCCAGACGATACTCTGCCTTTTGGCATAGCCTCGTCTGGGTTCTTCTCTACACAGAGGCAGAGAGTTCGACACTTCTGAAGTAATCCGGATAGAGATCACTTAGAAGCCACACTAATTGCCATATATGCATTTCCTTTACCATCACGTGATCTACTTATTCAACATGGGATTGCCTGTGTTTGCTCTCTGGTGATCTGTGTTCAAACTCCAGTATCCGCAGTGATTCTTTATTCCTATGTAACACCTCTCTTTTGAGATGACTTCCCCTAGAGTCTATATTTCTTCAGCTTTTGTTCAATATTTACATATTTTATTAGCATTCTTTTTCTTTTGCCATAATCCCTTCATTCAATAATTTCTCATGGCGTGG